TTCGCTATTTACACCTTTTCTAAAACCATTTAGACTAGAGCCTTCTACAAGCTTTACCTATCATAAATTGAAACAAACATGCAGGGAGCAAACGTCTTTAAATTGAAACAAACATGCAGGGACTAAACTGCACTGATTTCGACCGAATCATTTTTCACACAGAATCACAGCAAACACTGATCATTATGGGCTAATTGTTCACCAATGTAAGTTAGTCAATTGCTTTAATTTTGTAATTCATATATGGTTCTTCGGTCTTCAACTGCAATTAACTAATCAAATTAACTTAGATTAATGTTAGCAAAATCACTTACTCTAATTCATAAAATACATTTGCGATACAATATACAATAAACGATACATTAAAATGATCAAGATTAGTAACGTTGAGTATTAACAATCTGAGTAGTTAAGAGAAATCAAGCAGCATTTACATATCCTTGCCCCCGCGCAAAAGTTTTTCTTTCTGTTTGAAAACGCCGTTGAATACCTCTACAACTAGGTGCAAGAATATTGAAGAAATGCATGCTTGCAACTGGTTTGTTTCTTGTTTGAAATATGGCGAACACAATGACAGAATTTGATTTATCTTTTACGGCTCACACATCTATGTAATCATATATTGTTGTACTGCTTTGGTTAAATTCGCAATTTATCCAAAAGCTAATACTCTCCACGCACTCCGCGTAAATCGTAAATTAAAATACTGTAGATATGTTTTGAGGAATTTTCTGCTACTTCTCCAAGTATGAGTCCTTTCATTAAGCATTTCAGAAAGAAAACTTCACGATTAATTGAGAAAAGGGCGGGAATTAGCAAGTGCACACAAGAATGAATCTGAATCTATAATAAACATTCCGAAAGTAACCAAATTATCCAATGCTTAGCTATAGAAAGTTAATACGTGCGAGTTTATCGGAACTGCATTTCAATAATTCAACAATCAGAAGTAAACTGTTGGGATCTCAACACATTTTCGCAGCTTACTAGGATCTTATCAAAATAAAATGAATTATTTCTCAACTTTTTAATCTACTTTGAGAAGGCCAGCATTGATGTACTCCTCAATTTCACAATGGTTCTCACCGCGAAGAAAGCGAAAGTACCCTCCTAAAAAGTTTAAAATAAGATCTTTATCAAGATTGTTCAAAATTACTAGTATAAATTCTATCCACCATTTTCTCCCCAGTCTTTTGACCAGGAGTTAGCACCAATCCAAAACTTTGTTCCATTTTCGACACCCCATCCTAGAAGCTTAACAGCGTGACCTCCTTTCTCTTCACCTCCTTCGTGCTGAAATGAGAGCAGGCCACAAGTTAGATTGATTTCACTACTTTAAATTAAAATTCCGCAACTTGACTTAATTATCGTATGTAATTATTGTAGAAAAACTTTCAGCTTTGTGAGTGATGTTCTTTAAGTCTCTTTGGCCCCGTGTAGTACATTTATAGCACACTCTTCAGTTGTTTTTGCTTTATGTTGGTCAGAAGAATTACTCACTTTGTATATTCCACCTTTGTATAGACTAAAGTCTTCGTAGGCGATGAAAGCCGCCTGAACAGGTCCATTCTTGAATATTTCCTTTTTTATTTCTTCCTCGTCCTTTTCAACGCAGTACGCTTTGGAACCTAAAGTTATTAAGCACTGGAGTAACATAGCA